CAGCAAGGGGAAGGGGAAGGGGAGGAAGAGCACCATTGGTGGGGCAGGGCAGAGGAATGGGTAGGGGCATGGGTGGGGACATGGGTGGGGGCATGGGTGGGGGCATGGGCGGAGGCATGACTAGGGGCATGAGTAGGGGCACTGGTGGGGGCAGAGGCAGGGGGTTTTCTGCAGGTTATGCTGCCGGCCTTGCTGCCGCTCGTGCCGCCCTTGCCCTAGAAACCGGCGCTCTTGGTGCTGCTACTTGTGACGCTGCTGCTGCGGCGGGCGCTCGTGCCAGTGTTGATGGCACTGCTGCTGCTGCTGCTGCAGCAGCAGCACCGGGAGCAGCAGCAGCAGCAGGAGGAGGAGGAGGAGGAGGAGGAGGAGTGGGGTTGGACGGTGGGGTGGATTGGGATATAGAAATGGGAGAGGTGCCGTTAGATGGTGATGCTGAGCCATGGACGTCAGAAGGAGTGGGGCAGGCGGGAGGAGAGGCGGCAGGAGGAGGGGCGGGCGATGTAGCAGGTGCAGCAGTCGCAGCAGCAGCAGCAGAAACAGCAGTAGTGGATGGGGCAGGAGGAGTAGACCAGGCAGCAGCAGCAGCAGCAGCAGCAGAGGATGATGGCGAGTGGCGGCCGATTCGGCTGCGCGGGGGCGTGAAGCGGCGGAACTTGCTGGACCTGCAGACCAAGAGGGAGATGTGCGAGCTCAAGAGGGCGCGCCCGGGCCTCACTAACGCCAAAATGGTCGAGCTGTTGAAGGTAGGGATGAGGCTGCAGGTGTGTGCATGCTGGGAGTGTGGTATGCGCGGGGGCATGAAGTGGCAGAGCGTGCTCGACCTGAGGACCAAGCGGGTCGTTTGCGAGCTGGGGGCGCGGCTGGGGGCGCGGCCGCAGCAGCTCGACGATTTTGGCGTTAGTGCTGGGTGGTGGTGGTTGCCATTCTCCCTGCCGCAATGCATCTCGGGCCTCGAATGGAGCCCTTCCATGTCCATCACCAACATCCTGAAAGGTGATGACAGCTGATGACAGCTGATGGCAGCTGATGACAGCTGATGACAGCTGATGGAAGGTAATGAAAGCTGAGCGGCGCTGGGTGGACGAGGAGGTGCCTTGAAGCCCAGTGCCTTCAATCCCAGTGCCTTCCCCCTCTACCCTGCAGCAACCCCCCCCTCTCCCTGCAGCAACGCCCCCCCTCTCCCTGCAGCAGCCCCCCCCCTCTCCCTGCAGCAACGCATCCCAGGCCTACGAATGGAACCCTCCATACCACCAGGAGCCTTAAAGCCCAGCGCTGCTGGGAGCAACGAGAGCGCCATCAAGTCTCGCTTCCCCCTGCTCTCCCCTCATCCCACCCACCCACGCCCTCCCTTGGCCCTAGCTACAGCAGCGCATCCCCGGGCTGCACATGGATCTTGGCAAGATCCTGAAAGACGAGCGCCACTGGTTTCGTAGTGTGCCCCCCCCCCCCCCCCCTCTCCTACTTGCAGCCACGCATCCCCGGGCTTCGCATGGAGCCCTCCCGTCCCCTCGCCCCCCACCTCGCCACTCTCCTTCGCTCCCACCTCCCCCGTCCCTCTTGTCCTCCTTGCCTTTCTCCCCCCTTGCAGCCACGCATCCCCCGGCTGCGCATGGACCCGTCGCACATCACCAATATCCTCAAGCACAAGCGCCGCTGGAGCGACAAGAACGTGTCTCGAAGCTCTGCCCAGTGCCTTGTCCGTCCACCCTGCAACAACCCCTCTCTCCCTCCCCCCAGCAACGCATCCCCGGGCTGCGCATGGACCCCTCCCACATCACCAAGATCCTCAAGCACAATCGCCGCTGGTTGCATAGTGTGCCCTCCTCTCTCCCCCCTCAACCGCACCTCCCCCCCTCCTACTTGCAGCAACGCATCCCGGGGCTGCGCATGGACCCCTCCCACATCACCAAGATCCTCAAGGACGAGCACCGCTGGAGCGACGAGAGGGCCATCCGCTTCGCGCTCAACAAGCGCGTGCGCCTGCCCGTGTGCGCGCTGCTGGAGGAGACGCTGGCTGAGTGGTACGGGGAGGAGCGCAAGAAAGGACGTGTGTCCTTCGCTACTGTTGTCGAGAAGGCCAGGGAGCTCGGGCCTTCCTGCGGCGCTCCGCCTGACTTCAAGTGAGTACCCCTCCTCTCCCCTCGCTTCCCCCCATCGTTTTCCCCTCCTTTTTCTGAATGCTCCGCCTCTGCTGGGCGCCGAGCAACAAGCGCGTGTTTCTGAAGTGAGTGTTTCTGCTTTGCCCAACTCCCCACCCTCCAAACCTCTGCTTCTCTCTCTTTTGAGCACCGTGCTGTGTCTTGCTGGAGGAGACGCTCACTGAGTGGTAAGGGGAGGAGTGCACCCGCTGATGGGTGCCCTTGCTACTGTTGTAGAGAAGGCCAGGGAGCTCGGGCCTTCCTGTGGTGCTCTGCCTGATTTTAAGTGAGTACCCCTCGCCTCGCTTCCCCAGGTCTTTGCCCTTTTTTCTGTTTGTGCCGCCTATTTTTGGCCGCTAGTAACAAGCGTGTGCCTGCCTGCTGCGATCTGGAGGTCATCGCAGTGCCCCATGCGCAGCACTGAGTGGTGTTGACTGACGTTGCAAAAGGTGAAGGGAGCAGCAGACTGGATGGAGACGTGGCTGGGGCGGGGGCGGGGGCGGGGGTTGGGGTTCGTGTTCGCGCGGGGCATGGCACTCCTCTTCCTGCCCTCTCTCGCCCAGACCTACATCCTGGGCAGGCTGCTGCGCTTTCTTCAACGGTGGGGCTTTTGAAATATCATGAAGCTCCCCCCCCCCCCCCCCCCCTGCTATGTTCTTGACGGCCCTGTCATCCCCACCACAGGTTCAGCTTTGGGTGGGTGATGAAGTTTCAAGATCGGTTTGGGTTCTCCAAAGAAGCAGGTGCAAGCGGCAAGAGGACACCTATTCTCTTTGTCTTCATTCCACTCCATTACCATCCTCCAATCATCCCGTCCGCAGGTACAGCTTTGGCTGGCTGCTGCGATTTCTTGATCGGAGGGGCTTCTGGAATCCCATAAAGGGTAAACCCCCACCACCCCCACCCCCCCCCCCCCCTCCCTCATGCCGTGCCGTCCCCCAATCCTCCCAACCGCAGGTATAGCTTTGGGTGGGTGATGAGGTTTCAAGATCGGTTTGGGTTCTCCAAGAAGCAGCTGGAGGCAGCACGGGAGGCGCACTTCCAAGAGGAGGAAGAGGAGGATGGGGATGGGGATGGTGCTGGGGGGAGGCATGCTGGCCCCTCGCTTTTGGAGCTCGCGGATCAGATGTTTGGGCCGGGGATCAGGAGGGCTCGGCAGCAGAGCAGGGGAGAGGGGGGGTGGAGCGTGGCGGAAGGGCAGGAGGTGATTGATCTGGAGAGTGGGGAGGAGGGTGGTGAGGGTGGTGGTGAAGGGAGGGGGGGGGAGGGGGACAGCAGAGTGGAGAGGAGGAGAGAGAGGACGAGGAGGAGGAAGAGGAGGAAGAGGAGATGGGGGAGGGAGAGGAGGAGGGGAGGGCAGTTATTGGGGCCACAGGGAGGGGTGGGAGTGGGAGTGGGCTGAGGGGAGAGATAGGCAGGAATGGTGAGATGAGAAGAGAGGCGGGAGGGACTGGTGAGATTGCACAGGATGAGTTGAGAGAAGGGGGCGAGGAGATGGGGGTCACAGGGGGCGAGGAGGCAGGTATGGCGGGGAATGCGGGGGTGAAAGAGCAAACGGACAAGGGTGCAAGCACTGGTGGCACTGGTGGCACTGGTGGCACTGGTGGCACTGGTGGCACTGGTGGCACTGGTGGCACTGGTGGCACTGGTGGCACTGGTGGTGCTGGTGGTGACCACCACCCCAGTCTTGCAGACCTGGCTCTTGCCGAGGCGATCGCAGACGGCACGATCTCGCCGGGGGGGGCTCTTCTGGCGGGGAATGGCGCGCTGACAGAGGCAATCGCAGGTGGCCCCTGTGTGGCCCCTGATCTCGCCTCCCTCGCTCTCGCTGAAGCCTCTGGTACAATTCCTGCCGCTGCCGTCGCTGCTGCTGGTGACATTCTGGCCGCTCCTGCTGCCCCTGCTGCTCCCACTGCTGCTGCGGCTCCTTCCGCCCCCGCCAAGTTGCAGGCCGTGAGGCGGTTGCGGGCGCAGCAGAAACAGAGGCAGCAGCGGCAGGTGGTAGGGGAGGGGGGGGAAGGTGCAGGGGCAAACGAGGGGGGAGAGGGTGCAGGGGAGCCGCGGCAGCGGAAGCAGTATAAAAACCGTGTCCGTTTCACGATTAAGGTTAAGAGGGCCATCTGCCAACTGCATGAGGCCCTTCCTCAGTTACGCCCTAAGGAGCTAATGCGGCTAGTTACCCAGGAATGTGGGGGTACGATGGAGGAGGGCCTACCACCGTTGGATCTTGTGAGACGGGTTCTGCGCCGTAAGGAGCTTCTTTTCCGGTCCGGTCAGGAGCTGAACAAGGGTTACAGGGCTAGAAAGCCGGTTTACCCTGAATTTGAGAGGGTGGTTGGGGAGTGGGTAAGGGGGATGATTGCCAAGTATGGGAAAGATGTGCTTGTGTATGAGGATGTGCACGGGTATGCAAAACAGCTGGGCCCAAGTATGGGTGTGCATGCGAGTTTCGCTTACAGCCACGGCTGGGTGGCTAGGTGTTTGCAACGGCAGGGCGTGGAGTTTCAGAGCAAAAGGGCGAAGCGAAAGGGGGTGGAAAAAAGGGTCGGTGGGGATGGGAATGGGAAGGGTGGGGGAGGAAGGGGGGAGAGGGGAGAAGGGCCGGTGGAAGGGGACGGGGCGGGGACGGATGGGGAGAGGGGAGGTGTGACTACAGATGATGGTGCTAGTAGTGATGGGGGTGGTGAGGGGGAGGGGCGTGATGGCAGGAAAAGGGGAGAGGGAAGGGAGGCGCAGGGAGCAGGGGAAATGGCAGGGGAGGAAACGGCTGGGGAGGAAACGGCTGGGGAGGAAACGGCAGGGGAGGAGGAGGATGATCTTGCAACAAGGATTAATCGGCTGGCGGCAAGGGTCAAGGCAGGGGAAGAGTTTGTATTGCTGGCCGAAGAAAATGCTGCTGCTGCTGGTGATAGTGCTGGTGGTGGTGGTGCTGGTGCGGGTGCTGCTGCTGCTGCTGCTGATAATGATATTTCTTCTGCTGCTGCACAAGGGAGCCGGAGCAGACGCATGAGGCATACAGGCAGGAGAAGAATCGGCAGCAGCAGCATTTACATCAGGGGTAGCAGGATCATAGATACTGCCACTGGCCGTATGTATGGTGCTGACAATGGCAATGGCAATGAAAATGACACAGACAACGGCACTGACAACGAGAACAACAACAACAGCAGCAGCCGCAGGAAGCGGCGGCAGCAGCGCAAGCCCGTGCCGATGCCACTGAAGCTGGCCGCCTGCGCCATCTGGCGCGCCCGCCCCGACATCCCCGTGGGCATCGCGCAGCAGGCCCTGGAGGCGCGGTACCACGTGCAGCTGGAGCGGATGAAGCCCACCGCGCTGCTGGCCACAGAGGCCAAGATGAGGGAGGCGCTGCTGCGGGGCGGGCAGGGCAGGGAGGTGCTGCGCGCAAGGCAGGGCAAAGAGGTGCAGCTGCAGGAGGCTCTTGTGCTGGCAGTGAGGCAGGCTGTAGCGAGGATGGAAGGGGAGGGGGGGGGACAAGGTGGGGAAGAGGGAGGAGGACAGAGCGGGGCAGCAGGAGAGGGACGGCAGACTGGTTCCCAGCAACCGTCCCCAGTAGCCACCTCCCTGGTAGCCACCCCCCCAGTAGCCACCCCCGCAGTAGCCACCCCCCCAGTAGCCACCCCCGCAGTTGCCACCCACCCAGTAGCCACCCGGCCAGTCATCACCTGGCATCAGGTGACGGAGTACGCCAAGCGCCTGGGCCCGCTAGTGGGAGTGGCGCCTGGGTTCACGTACAGCAGGACTTGGCTGCAGCGAGTGCTGGTGGCGCACGGGCTGGACAAATACATCGCTGGCAGGGGCGGGAGAAAGTGGGCACGAACTAATCCCCCGGGAGGAGAGATTCTGGGGGCTGCCTCACAGGGGGAAGGAGGAGAGGGAGGAGCGGGAGCAGCAGGAGGAGGGGACAGTGGGGGAGGGGGAGGTGCGATGGAGGGGGGTGCGGGGTGTGAAGCGGTGGAGGGGGAGTCGGAGCGGTTGAGGGCGATTCTGGACGATGCGATGCACGTGAGAAAGGAGGAGTTGGATGTGCTGATAAAGTTGGCAGTCAGGCTGTGGGGGAGGCGCATGGCGCAGAGGCAGAGGGCGGCCAAGAGGAGGGCGGCGGGACACGCGGAGCCAGGAGGGGCAGGCGACACGGACTCTGAAGCAGGGAGTGATGGGGACGGTGCAGCAGAGCCAATCACAGAGGCGTCTGGAGGCTCCAGTGCGGACGAGCAGGCAGGGGAGGGGCTGACACCCCTCCCCCGCTTCCTGTCTTCTTCCGAACACACCCCCTTCTCTTCACAGCTGCCTGGGGCACGGGTGGTGCCTCCCTCACTTGAGCCTGGTCCAGGCGGGCAGCGTGGGTCGGCAGGTATGGCACAGCACTCCGCAGCACTTCCCTTGGTCCCCCTCACGACAGCGGAGGGGATTCTGTCAGAGCTAGCGGATGTGCGCGTGGGGCCCCTCTCTGAAGCCCATCCGCCCCTGCTATCTGCCTGGGCGCACCTCTCTGCTGCCGTTCCGGCTGCTGCTGCTGGTTCTGCTGCTGGGGATGCGTTAGGGGGGATTGCAGGGGGAACAGTGGGGGCAGTGGGCCCGAGTGAGGTGGAGCTGCGCATGGCGAGGAGGCGGAGGCGAATGCTGTCTGCTGCGGCTGCCATTAACAGGTGGAACCGTGAGGATCACAGGCGAACACTGGAGAGGGAGAGCGGGGTAGGCAGGCCTGCAGGAGACGGGGGCGAGAGGGAAGAGGGTGGGAGTGTTGGGGGGGGAGGAGGGAATGCAGGGGGAGGGGGTAGAGAGGGGGAGCGTGGGGAGGGAGGGAGCGGGGAAGGGGGGAGCGGGGAGGGGGGATTGCAGGAGGACCCGGGGTGGGAATGGTGGCGGTGGTCTGGTTTGGTGGGGGTGCGGCAGATGGTGGGCGCGTGGGATACGCTCTTGGCGGCTCGCATTGTGTGCGGGCCAGGGGGGCGCGATGGAGGTAGGGGTAGTGGTGGGGTACAGGCAGGAGGGGGGGAAGGTGGGGGAGGAGTGGGAGGGGGAGGAGGGGGAGGAGGGGGGGGAGGGAGAGGAGGGGGGAAAATGGCTGGGCGTTGGGGAGTACAAGGAGTAGAGGTGAAGCAGGAGTGGGATGAGATGTTGGGGAGTGACAGCATGGGGGTTGGGAGTGAGGCGAGCTATACTACCAGCAGCGACGACAGCGATGGTGACAGCGATGGGAAAAGCGAGTATGGTGATGACGATGACAGCGACGGCAGTGGATCTTATAGCGAGGATGACAGTATGGAGGATTGGGAGGAGAAGCCCTTAGTGGGGGTGCAAGCAGGGGCGGCACAAGGGCTCACAAGTACAGGGGGCCCTGGAGGGCAGGGCAGGAAGAGGCGGAGGGGCGAGGAGCAGAGAGGGTCAGCAGTGGCTGCAGGGAGAGGGGGAAGTGGTTTTCCAGGGATAAGGGGCGGTGGACGAGGAAGGGGGGCAGGAAGAGGAGGTGGCATGTTGGGAAGGGGACGAGGAGGGGCAGGAAGAGGAGGGGCAGGAAGAGGAGGGGCAGGAAGAGGAGGGGCAGGAAGAGGAGGGGCAGGAAGAGGAGTTGGGGGGGTTGGTAGTGGAGTTGGGGGGCGAGGGCAAGGAGATGGGGGGGCAGGGACAAGTCATTTCAGTCAGGCGTCATCGTTTTCATCATTGCTATCCCATCTGCTCGGTCCCGCCGCTTCCTCAGCCACAGCTGCACCTCCCCTGAACCCCCTCAACCCTCTCTCTGCTCCTAGCGCACTCCCATTTGCACGGGGTCATGGTTCCTTTGGCGGCGCGCCGCCTAACCCTTACTTTGCACCTCGCTTTCCTCCATCCCTGCCCCTTTTATTTGGGGTACCTCAGAACAACCCTCCATGGTCCGTAGGGGCTGGAGGATCAGCAGGGCCTGGAGCTGCTACTGCTGTGGCTGCTGCTGTTGCTAACGCAGCTGTTGCCAATGCGTCTGCGGCTGCAGCTGCTGCTGCTAGAATGCCATCAGCTACAGTCACCACCACTACTGTCACGGCTGATGCTTTCACAACCACCACTATCACCCCCAACGCAGTTGCTTCTGCTGCAGGATGTGGAAATAGTTCTGCTGCAGTTACAGGCAGCGGAGCACCCAGGGAGATTCAAGAATTGTAAGCCACTCATTCAATGGGCTGTCTAATAATTCCAAGATTGAGATCGTGTAAGCTCACAGCAATACGCCTTCGTTGAATTAATACATGTCAGCTTTTGCAAAACCTATATGCGTGCTAGCAATGTGTGTAACCTTAGCAATCATTGTGTCTTAGATGGAGTTATGCTACAAATGTATGTAATTAAACATGCCGAGGGTGCAAATCATGGAAAGTCTGCAGCTCGCATCATTCGCTTTACTAGTTCGAAATCCTCAGCCGTCACCAAAACGCAAACCCCTCCCAAAACCCTCAACCTACCCCGAATCCCAGTGTTGGAAATACCTCAAGGACTGCGTTTCTGAAGTGTAACACCACACTCGAGGAAGGTCGTAACGGGTACGCGAGTCAACGGAGGTTACACGAGGGGGTGGACAAACAACACGAAAGGACTCGAAGGGTCGCAACTGGAGGTTGCGACTGACAGTTACAACTGCAAAGATGGTAACCGAAGCGACAGTCGAGTCGCTGTGCGACTCGATAACCGCTCTTTCAACTGTATTCTACGACTGCTTTACTTTCCTACTTTCTATATATTGCTGCATGCTTGTTCTTTTAATCAATCACTTGTTCTCACATACTACTACAAGGGTTCAACTACTCAACTTCCGCTGCACTACTCAAGTCTCCTTTTGCAACTGGACTTAGTCTCTGGAAAGATCCTAAGGGCTTTTCTCAGCCCAACACCCAGAACCTGAATATCCCAACACTTCAAAGTGGCGTTGCCTTCTTTTCCCCAACCGTTCCCTCTACTCCTGGCCAAACTGCCTCCCAAGATGCCCGCGAATGGCGCCGCTGGCATACGGCGAAGTGCTAACCGTCGCGTAGTAGCTCGCCGACTCTTTCGTGAAGGTAGGATAGCTAGGACGCCATGACTATGGCGGCGGGGTTTAGCTAGGAGGAAGGCGAGGAGAATGTCGAGAGAAAAGATGAATCAACTAGAAGAAAAACAGGTACAAGGGAGTTATCCCCTCTACAGTAGAATGCAGTAGCACAACTACCAAGCCTATAGTTATATAAAATAAATTTTGAACACACCCCCTAGGCTTGGTAGTGGCAGGCCCACTCAAAAGGACACACACACCCCCTAACCCCGGACCCTCTCATTCTCGTGAGCAGCCGGGTATCGACCCCTCATGCTAGGCAATGACACCCCCGGACGAGAGGCAGCTTGCCGCATCTGGGCGGCCTCAATGACGACAGCGGCGGAGCTCGTGCTCAAGGCGGCTGCGGTGATGAGGACAGACGGCGACTGCGGCGGCTGAGGGCTCTCGGCAGTGTGGCACGACCTGGCGATGACCGAGCCGAAGACAGCAGCTGCGGCAGGAGGGAGAGGGGACGCAAGGAGAAGGGGTGGTGTAGAGGAGAGGGCGCTGGCTGGCGTGTGGGCGGCGGCAGCGTCACCGACGTCGCACGGTCGGCTGCAGCCCGACGGCGCCGTCAACGAGCGGCGTCGATGCTGCACGACGTGACGTCGATGCGGCATGACGTCGACGCCACGACGTCAGTACGGCGGCGCTGTCACGCCGCGACGGCCCGACGTCGACGGCGTGGCCACCATGAGGCTGCCGCGGCATCTCAGAGAAGGTGCCACGGCGGCAGGCAATCTGAAGGTTGCGAAGGCGGCGAAGAAACAGAGAATACGCAGCGGAAGAGTAGTGAGCAGGCCCGGGACGGGCGGCCTGCTCTGAAACCATGTCGTGAATGTAGGATAGATAGGACGCCATGACTATGGCGGCGGGGTTTAGCTAGGAGGAAGGCGAGGAGAATGTCGAAAGAAAAGATGAATCAATTAGAAGAGAAACAAGTACAAGAAGAGGAGTTATCCCCTCTACAATAGGATGCAGTAGCACAACTACCAAGCCTATAATTATACAAAATATAATTTGAACAGACTCCTCCATCATCATCCGCAGTGTGTCCCTCTGCGATCGGTCTCGCAAAACCAATCTAGGGGCCTGGTGTGAGCCTTTTCTTTTCCTGCAGGGCATGCGATGCTGAATAATTGCAGGGGATGAATTTCTCATGGCGAATAATTGTGAACGCGAAATAACAAACTCGCCTTGGAATTCGGCATCCATCATTTACGGCAAGAATCTGATCGACAGTAGAGCCATTTTTTGCTAGTGCAGCATCTTCTACCATACTGTCAAATGTAACTTAGGTCGTTACTGTAGACTATACTAGATTGTGTGTTAGAGGGTACACCACCCTAGTCTAGGTATCCTTGTACTCACACATTCTAGTTCAATTATTCTTTCTGATATGGTATCATAGTAGGTTAGATCCCCCCCTAGCCCGCTCTCGCTTCTGCCCCTACGCTCCTAGCCGGCCCCCTGGCCGTCGCGCCCGTCCCTAGCCGGCCCCCTGGCCGTTCGCGCTCGCCCCTAGTTGGCCCCCTGGCCGTCGCGCCCGCTTCTAGCCGGCCCCCTGGCCGTTCGCGCCCGCCCCTAGCCGCCCCCATGGCCGTCGCGCCCGTCCCTAGCCGGCCCCTTGGCCGTACGCGCCCGACCCTAGCTGGCCCCCGTGGCCGTCGCGCCCGTTTCTCGCCGGACCCATGCTGTCGCGCCCCTCCTAGCCGGCCCCCTGGCCGTTCGCGCCCGTCCCTAGCCGGCCTCCTAGCCATTCGCGCCCGCCCCTAGCTGGGCCCCTCGCCATTCGCGCCCGCCCCTAGCTGGCCCCCTGGCCGTCGCGCCCGCTTCTAGCCGGCCCCCCTGGCCGTCGAGCCCCTCCTAGCCGGCCCCCTGGCTGTCGTGCCCGTCCCTAGCCGGCCCCCTGGCCGTCGCGCCCGCCCCTCGCCCCTAGCCGACGCCCTAGCCGTTCGCGCCCGCCCCTAGCCGCCCCACTCGCTGCCACGGCCACCCCCAGCCGTCGTGCCCGCCCCTAGCCGCCGTCGCGCCGCTCCTGCCGTCGTGGCCGCCCCTAGCCGCCGTCGCGGCCGTCCCTGGCCGCCGCCGCGGCCATGTCTCCTCGCCTCGCGGCCGTCTCTACTCGCCGTTGCGCCAGCTCCTAGCCGGCCCCCATTGCCGCTGTTTGCTGGCTCCAAGCGTCCGCTGTCCGCCGGTCGGCCCCTGCATTCGCGTCGTCGCCGGCCCGCCGCCGCCTCGAGTTCGGCCCATTCTTCCCGACCAGCACCGCCCTGCAAACCCCCCGGTACCGTACTGCACCGCTTTGCACCGCAATGAACCGCTTTGCACCGCACTACACTGCACTGTACCGCACTGCACAGCACTGCATTGCCCTGCACCGCATGGTACTGCCCGACACTATCCTCTATTGTTACTGATGGCGGAGGTGCTTCGCTTTGACGCTGAGGGCCAGCCGATTGAGTTTGATGCGTGGCTTGCTGACCTCTGTCGCCATCTCACTGGTCAGCGGCAGGATGGCCACTCGCTGTCTGTCCATCTTGATGGTACCCTCCCCTGCCCTGACCCCCCCGCTGCACTGTCTCCTGACCCCTCGTCCGCTGAGCATGAGTCCACTACGGCCGCTGCCCTTGCTCGCTCTGTCTGGCTATCCCGTGACGCTGTCGTACAGCTGGCTATTAGCAATGCCCTCCCCCTGTCCGAGCGACCTCGCTTCAGGTCTATCACCACTGCCCAGGCTTTCCTAGATGCTGTTGTCCAGCACTATTCCACCCCGCCTGCTGCCTCGGTCGGTCGTCTGATCCTCCCCATGCTCTTCCCTGACCTTGCGTCGTTCCCTACTATCGCCGACCTGGCCGCTCACCTGCGCACTATAGACGAGACCTGGCGTGCTGCCTGCACTCCCACACAGCTTCTAGCCCACCAGCCGCCCCTCACCTCTACTCTCTACCTGCTAGCCACACGCCTCCCTGACCGTCTTGCCACTACTCGTGACCGCTTCCTTAGCGTCCACCCCGCATACCTCACCCTCACTGACTTTGTTGACACCCTGTCCGCTATAGAGGCCCGCCACCGCTCTATCGCTCAGACCAGCGGTACTGTGCCGGTCCCTATCTTTCAGGGTTGCGCCCCTGCTAAGTGCACCTTCTCCGACGGTTCTGCTGCTGTGGCTGAGACTGCCGCTGCTGCACAGGTCCGTCCGGGGAAGGGTCGCCGCCCCAAGGCTGGGCGTGGCGGCGAGGGTGGGGGTGCAGGTGTCGGTGGTGCTGGAGCTGGGTCTTCTGGAGCTGGGTCTTCTGGTGGCGGTGCGAACGAGGGGACCCTGACAGGTGCAGCCGAGCAGCCGTCTCCGCAGCCGCCGGTGTTGCAGCCGGACTCGCGTCAGCCGTAGCCGTCGCAGCAGCCATTGCAGCCGCAGCAGTCGCAGCCTCAGCAGAGACGGGCGAGTGGGCTCCCGCCCGGGTGGCCTGGCGCTGGTGGTAGCACTGGACGTGGTGGTGGTGCGCGTGGTGGGCTGCCGGGAGGTGGTTCGGGTGACGCGCGCTGTCAATACTTGCTCCAGACCGGTCCTCGCCATGGCTTCGTTTGGTCACACCTCCGTCCCCTGTTTCCGTCGCCTGGATGACCTCTTTCATCAGGGCTTCCGCCCGTCGCCCGAGCTCCTAGACAAGCACAGTCTGTTTCGTCGTAGGGTTCAGATTTTTTATCTGGATATGGATGCCATTGTTACTGCTCTGCATGTAATGTATGCTGATGACTCTAGTGTGCTTCCGTCTTATTACCCCTTGTTGCCTAGCGTAGGTGTGCCTTGCTTAGACTCCCCTGCTGCGTCAGGCATAGGATCCCATGCTTTGTTTAGCCTTGGTGCTTCCGTCGCTGCTTCGCCTCCGACCGCCACTGCCGCGCTCTCCTTCACCCTCGACTCTGGCGCTTCCCAGTGGTTCTTCCGCGACTCCACCACATTGACATCGCTTCCTGTCCCTGCCGCAGTATCTCTTGCTGACCCCACCTCCGGCTCTGTAGTCGCCCGCAGTTCCACCACCCTCCCCTGCCCAGCGGTTCCTTCGGGCTCGCTCACAGGACTGCACATCCCCTCGTTCTCCAGGAACCTAGTTGGTGTCGGCTGCCTTCAGGACCTTGGCGTCACCACTATGTTCCCTGGTCACGAGCGGTACGCTGTCTGTACCGAGGCCGCCACTGGTGCCCCCCTGTCCACGTTCCCACGGGACCCGGTGTCCGCTCCTTTCACACTGGACA